TATAGGTATGTTTGGTACCAAGCACAAAAAATTGTGCTTGGTAGTGAGGTATCACATCCCCTCCACTCATTCAAATGAGGGACCACATTCACATGGGTTGGATGTAGGCGTATAAAACTACTTATAGGTCCCTTAACACAGCTCGGCACGGTGATTCAACAAACCAACGAACCATCGGGTGACGTATCTAAACACGAGCGTTACATACTGTAGGCGTATAAAACTACTTATAGGTCCCTTAACACAGCTCGGCACGGTGATTCAACAAACCAACGAACCATCGGGTGACGTATCTAAACACGAGCGTTAGTCCACAACACCAAGGCCAAGTGACACACGACGAAGTGGATTAACGAGGCTACGAGGCTAACGAACCACACGCAAACAACAGAATAAATCTACTCGCGTTCGGAATCAAGCTAATGGATCGGTGAATCAACGAGTCATCCAACTATGGAACAGATTCGAACTCGAACACTGAGGCGGATTTACTGCCAAATCAGGATCCGAACTGTCAAATCAGAATTCAGATCAACGACGAAGCTCAGATAAACCACAAAGCCACGAAACCAGACAACGGACGACACGGCGAAACACCGGAAAGCTCGCAAACCAGCCACTGCAGATGATCCGGTGGCCCGAGCCACAACAAGGGCCGGGCGGCCAGCCACCAATGGTAGGCTCGGCCGAGCACCTTTGTGGCTGCTCGGCGGCCACCGCGCCACCATAATGATGTGTGGCCGCACGCACCTGGTGGTTGAGCTCGTGGCGACCACTGGTGGTGGCTCGTGCCGAGCACCCAAGTGGCCGAGCACTTGCCGACCACTCTGTTCTGGGCCCAGATCTGATCCCAAATCTGCTTTCAGTGCCTATAAATAGAGGGGTTGGTTCATTGTTTGGGAGGTTGGACTTTTGGGAGGCGAAACTCTGCTGGATTAAGAGCTCAACTTTGAAGTTTGGAAGCTTTGACGACTTGGACTTTCAGATCTGGTTCTTGGCGATCATCCACGTCAAACAAGGCAGGAGTTCGAGAGAGAGATCAGATCTGAGATCTACACGGTTATCCTCCGGATCAAAACTTGGTTTTTGATCCCGAGAAGAGTATCGATTTCGCTTGGTCGATTTCGATTACTAAATGCTATTATTTCCTTGGTGAAATAGTACCCCCGTTTGTTATTTCCTTCGCGAAATAGCACCCGTCATACCGTGTAGATCCGACCGGATCAAGATCGCGCGATGGTCCACGGATTAACCCCGGCGCAGGCAAAGAACCCACAAAAGCGAGAGACCGCAAAACAGAATCTCGCGATTCGTTCGACATAAAAGGAAAGTTGTAATTTTTATTTTTTTTTGATTTTGTTATAACCGGATCTTATAAAAAAACCGGATCTTTTGTAATCGAAAAACTATTACTCAAAAGTGCAATAGAATCGAAGAACGCAACTTTTACCGCGAACAATCTGGCGACCACAGTGGGAGCCACCGATCTCGCTGCCGAGATTATTGCGTCGCAGCCGTGGATCTCAATCCCGGTCGAGGAGGAGGTCGAATATGAGTTCGACCAACAAAAGTTCGAGGAGTATCTATCATCCTCGTCCGGATCCACCTCCCCCCGCAAGTCCAAGAAGTTCTCCTCCAGGAGAAAAGTTCGTTGGTACGAAGAAGTACAGAACACCAACGAAGCTCTCGCCCCAACTGATGCCAAAGTCGCATCAGGTGAAGCCCCACCGACCTCCAACCAGGTCAAACCTGTTCTCACCAATGTCTCCACCGTTGAGGGCGTTGTGACTCTCTCGAAAAGAGCCCGCCAGAGGCGACGTTAAGGCATGGCGCGGCAACTCGCATAGGCGATGGAGTCCACCGACGGAGTCCGCTATAACGCGGATCTGAAGAGCAGGAGAGGCAAACAGCCTCAACAAATAATGAATGGCAGCTCCTCCAAGCCGCCAACGAATGAATGGATCCGTGTCAAACGGAATCGTTCAACGCTTGATGAGCGCATTCGCAAGCGCCGCGCACTGTCAGCGCAAGCACGGGCTCAAGTCCAAGAAGC